TTTTCTTGGGCAGGATGTTCCACGGGCAGGTATTCTGGGCTCCCAGAGCTTCAGGCAACCTTACCAACAAGGCCTTGCTTTAACCAGAGATTATTTTGCAACTCAAAGGCTCTAAAAGCCCCAGAGCAGTGCAGGCATGCCCTACATGCCCCTAAAGTCAGGAACAACCCTGAGCTTTTGGCAGTGCCCAAATCCTGACCAGAGCAAGCCAACAGAAGCAGCCCAGTGAGCCAAATGTCTTGTATGCTTTGCTTGCATGTCACAAGCATGTTGTTTCTGAAAATAAACTGATGCTTAAGGCTGTGATTATTTCTTGCTGTAGGTGAATTGTTCTTTATATAACACTAATTTATTCTACAACTGCCCTTTTATACTCCCTCTTTCCATAGACCATAAGAGGGGGCTTTTAACTATAGAAAGAAAAGGAACTAGAGTGAGACAGTTATGAAAGCAGGGATAAAATACCCGCAACAGTTGTCTAACGGTCTCATTTTAATCACTACCCTGAAAAAGTCATAAAAGCAAAAACCCTGCTTCCAAACAACAGCCACATAAATCCACTCTCAATGATGCAGCTAATTTGTTATGGGATATTTGTTGTTTTAGACTTGATTTTTATGAAGTCAAGTAATGCATCTCCTGCTGTTGCTACTGGTGGTCGGAACATAATTCACTGCAAACATCAACAGAATCCAGAAAACAATTCACCTGTAAAAAGCTGACTGCTGTGACCAAGAAAATATCTGAGGCATTGAAGAGAATCAAAAGTAGTTTGTAAGACAAGGAACCCTCTCCCCTCCCTCTGAGTTACAGAATATTTGAAAAACAACAATTTCACTTCATCAGTTAATTTGAGGGCACCTAGAAGAAAAGTTGTGGGTGAAACCTTGTCCCCTGTACTATTGAGGAGATTTATCTTGAATTTGAAAGAGAAAAGATTTCCCTTTCTAAAAGCAAATGCAGAGACATACTACAGCCCAGATTTAGGCTCTCAGGTAGCAAGTCAAGGATTTTACAAATCAAACATATACAATGGCTAAATCCTACTTTGGCATGACTGAAGGTACAACCCTTTGCCTTCTTAGCACCACACAAGCATTGCATGAGCTCCTGCGAAATAAGAGTTCACAGATGCAGAAGAAACAAACCCTTCCAATGGTTTTAAACCCATCTAATCTCTATTTTGCGTGAAGAGTTGTAACTGGAGCCTGCATTCTTTGCTAGAAACACATATGCTAACAGTAGTTCTCAGACTGTCTTTCCCAGATAGTTTCCCATTTGCCTGTCTGACATCAATGGATATCCAGCCTCACATCTAGACAGAATACATCGTTATTTGTGAGAGGCTTCTGTATGAAAAATATTTTAAGGCTGGTCAGTCCTCAAGTCATGATTAAGAACTTCTGCCCTCTTAAGAAATCCCAAACAACTCTCCAGACCGTACCCCACCACAGATTACTGAATCCCTAGATCAAACCCAACACCAACCATTCTTAAGGTACATAGACTCATAGAATCATACAATAGTTAAGGTTGGAAAGAACCTTAAGATCATCTAGTTCCAACCCCCTCCCATGGGGAGGGACACCTCACACTAAACCATCTCACCTAAGGCCTCGTCCAACCTGGTCTTGAACACTGCCAGGGATGGAGAACTCACAACCTCCCTGGGCAACCCATTCCAGTGCCTCACCACCCTAACAGGAAAGGATTTCCTCCTTATATCCAACCTAAACTTCCCCTGTTTAAGTTTTAACCCGCTACCCCTTGTCCTGTCACTACAGTCCCTAATGAAGAGTCCCTCCCCAGCATCCCTATAGGCCCCCTTCAAATGCTGGAAGGCTGCTATGAGGTCTCCACGCAGCCTTCTCTTCTCCAGGCTGAACAGCCTCAACTTTCTCAGCCTGTCTTCCTACGGGAGGTTCTCCAGTCCCCTGATCATCCTCATGGCTCTTCTCTGGACTTGTTCCAACAGTTCCATGTCCTTTTTATGTTGAGGACACGAGAACTGTACACAGTACTCCAGGTGAGGTCTCACAAGAACAGAGTAGTGGGGCAGGATCACCTCCTTTGACTTCTCAGTCCCCAGGTCAGAGGGCTGGGATGCTGCTTCTATAAACTGGGGATAGCCCAGCTCTGAGCAACATTCCTGAAACCAATCAAACATTCATGGGTCCAAATAATACAAACAAGCAGCAAGAAAATTCACAAACCTGAACTGTCTATGCATTGACTCCAATAGAAATAGCTCTAATTTTAAACCTGAAACTCTGGTGTTGCCTGTGCCAGCCCCTTAAAAGAAATCGTGAAGAGAGACCATTTTCTTTCAGTACCACACAAATTTATTCACTATACCCTTGCAGCATTTTGCAACTTCTGTAGGGCTACTTCTTAGCACACCTTGTTTCAGACAGTTTATGAAATGGAAAGACATTCAAAAACTACAAAAAGTCTGTGCTGGTTTCATTAGTTTTGAAGACAGTAAAAGAAAAAAATAAAAGGAAAAAGAGAAAAAAAGATCACACACACACAAAAGAACATCCAAGCACTGCTACTGCCACTATTTCCTCTAATGCACACAAGAACTGATTCAATTTGGTTTTCATTCTACGTCTTGCAACACTTGGGCTATGCTTTTATTCACAAATAAAATTTACTGAGCATTGGAAGATTAGGAAGAAGCAAAATGTGCTTAATACTTGAACACTTGATGCACTTTATTGAAAATTTAGAACAAGCAAGTCTTAACTCCAAAACTAATAAATAGTTTAGTTGGTTTGTGTTATGGGTAGTGTTCAGTGGCTTCAAGAACTAATTATACAATCTTGAGTTTGCTTTGAAGGTTAAGCCATCCTAAATGGCTTTAAATTACATTCTATCAAGCTAAGCTTAGAATTAAAAACCTCATTTGTAATAAGGAATTTTACTGGGTATAAATGCTAGTAGAGGGACTATGTAGGAAAGTTTAGTAATCAGGATGGCTTCTGTCCTTCACAGAGCATGTACAGAAATCCTAGCTCACAGCTAAAGTCTCCATTAGTGTTAGGATGTGAAACTCCTTGGGGAAGGCACAGGAAAAGTGCTTCTGAAAGAGTTTTGTATAGGATGATGACCCAAGGAGGAGACTGAGGTGTAGGTCAGGTGGGGAAGGAAAGGCAGCTGCTCAGGGAGCATACTGGTGAGAACAGGTACACTCGCCACAAAATGAGAGCTACTCCAATAATTTATCTGCTCCATGGGGCCCATAGCCAGTACTGGGAAAGCTCTACTATAATCTACCACTGGCCAGCACTGCAAAAAGAAGAAACCAGCACATCCTACATCCACTTTGGTTTACAGAGTCATAAGCAAGCTATCTGAGATCACAGCTCTTCCTTCACATGCAATACTCTGGGGTTGATTACCTGAACAAAGTGCACCAACAGCAGTATTTTTCCCATCTGCAAACACACCAGAGTTATCCCCAGGCACTCAGGGAGCCACTGCCCAGGTTGCAGAGCCACTTGGAGCAAAGGTGGCATTTTTCCATGAAGGTTTTACACCGCTATCACTGACTATGCCTGCAACCTCTCTTTGTGGGAAAAGGAGAAATACCTGTGTGCAGTAAAAACACATCCCACAGTGCTCAGTCTAATCAGTGGCAGGAGCAGACATCAGCCCTTCATGTCAGGTTTCCTCCTATGCCACTTCTCCAAGATGAGACAGGTCACCCACACCTGCTGTCACTAGCATGCTAAAGACTGTTTCTGAGCACAACAGTTTTGATCCCCAAACCATCTAAAGTCAGCAGAGACATTCCAAAAATACACTTTCAGAGCAGGTTTTCAGCCCCCCCCCCCCCCCCCCCCAATAATTAACTTATCCCTTTCACTCATCTGGCAGGCCTGGAGTCAAGCCTGCCACAAAAGAGGTGTAACAGACCACTCATCCTTTTGGGTGTGCTTAGACAGCTTGAGTCTCTGCCCATTAAATGGTAGTTCCTCCTTCTCTTTCATTAAGCCCATTGCCCAAATCCCGCCTGACATCTTCCTGTAGTTAAGTGAATTTTTCTGTGGAGAGGAGGGGATGAGACGAATCTTTCTTTTTTATCCCATTATTACCCTCCTCACTGACCTAGTGGTTGAGAAATACCATATGTTTTCATTGTTTGCCTTTACTTTCAGTTCTTCCACAAACTAAAATGTGAAGTGATCCGTGCTTTCACTGGCACGGCTCTGCCTTGTTTTCTTTCCCTCTTAACGGACTCATTCATGTGTAGGAGGTTTTTGATCCCAGGGTTTAGATATTCATCCCTACTTTACATAACCATAAGCAATGGCAGGTACTTATGTAAACTACAATTGGGTCCTTGTGTCTTGTGCACAACAAACAGAAGTCTCAAGCCATCAGCAACTGCTCTTTGCTTCAAACCACCCTTTGCAAAATAAGCCCCTGGCAGAGGAAAAGACTGAAGCAAGATGTGTCAATGTACAGTGAGCAAAGGCAAGAAACTTTGTCTGGGATATCCTGCCCCCCCCAGCTTGCTCCTTGTTCTGATGGGCAGCCTGCTGACCAGGGACTGAAGTCACTGGTTACCTCCAGCACAAATACCAATCACCCCTGCTCCAATCCACCACCCTGCTGCTCCAAGCTGCTTGTCACTCTATTGACAAGGGGGGCATTGGGGGTCGGTTGTTTTAAAATGGCTATTGGGCCACAAAAGCACCTTTACAAGCAGTTCCAGAGTTCTCCACAATATAAAATTCAGTTTAGGGGGAATGGAGATTACCAGAAACAAAAACATTTGTCAACGAACATGTTAAGCAGATGACTTTGGTTACTGCAAGCATTAAATGCGTTTGTAGTTCTCAAAGAAATTCATCTTTTCCACATCTCTACTTCAGGAAAGGCAGGAGGTTCCCTGCACACACATTTTATATTTCCCCCAGTTCTTCCCTACAGGATAAAACATACATTCCTCAGAGGCTACCTATGCAGAAACACCAATGCAAATTACTCACCACATGGGCTTGAAGCTCCAGCAAGCCCACCTCTGAAGAACATCTCAGTGATCCACCATAGCATCTTTTAATGCACAGCTGTGGGAGAGAACTGAGACTTTTGAGGGCTCTGAATTGTTTATGGACTCCTATGCTCTCCAGTACTTGCAAGAGTCTTTCCAGACAGGCAATAACATAATGCTTCCAGGAGTTATGCATTCAGGGTACAAGCGCACCCTAAAACCACCCAGAGCTCTGTTGAAGAGTTTAGCTTTGTTCTGCTGGAAGCCATCAAAGCAAAAGCAACCAAGGCAAGCAGGAACACCACAGAAAAGAGGGAAGCAGCAGTCCTACATCAAGGCACAAATCAACCAGCAAGCAGACCTGAACCAAGAGAAAGGGAGAAAAAAGGAAAAGAGGGGTTTTGGTGGGAATGGGATGCATAGGCACTAACTAGGCTTTTTCTTTCTGGCTAGAAAGGTTTTACCTTTCTGCCTTAACTACAGCATCTGATTGCACTAGATGGGAGGCAGCTGTGCCTGTCACTGGGAAGCCTCCCAGCACTCACCTGGAGAGGATCTTGGCTCAAAGCCACTGACTCCCCATCCATTCTTTACTTTCAAATTCACATTTAATCCTCTTGACACCAGGGCATAGAGCTAAAGCTTTTGTAGCCCCTGAAGAGCACTGCACCTTGGCCTATTTTCTGATGTATCTTCTTTAATATCTGTTGATGACATCTTTGAGCACCTGTAAAACCAAAGCGAGGTCTGAGAGAAATCTGTGTTACCTTCCACTACACAGCAAGAAAGAGAAAATAAATGCAGTTATTAGATATGGATTTACTTAAGGAAAATATTGTTAGAAACTGAACAAAATAGTACAGTTCTGTGCTGTGGATGGTGCAATAATGAAAAATATTATTGAATATAAAGGAAAGTTATGACACTATAATGTAACATAGACAAGTGAGAAGATGTATCAGTCATTATCTAGAATACAGTGGACTCCTGTGGTTTCATTTTTCATTACTAATTTAATGTACTTACAATGTTACATGATAAAAAATTGAAAAGAATGATAAGAATTGAGCATCATGAGAACAAAACAAGATCTGGAGAATTCAGAGATTTTTATAAGTTACTTGAGAAAACGTCCAAGATCCCTTGAGAGCTGCAGAACATCCATTAATATCCAATAAAAGATCTAATAACAGAAACATAAAGGAAATGTGGAAAGAAGATTTTAATAAACACAAATTATGAAATACATTTCTTTACATATCACAGTTCTGCTGTATGAAATTATTTCATAGAGAGAAAAATATCAGTTTTGCTAGGAAAGGATGCTTTGCAAACGTTAGCTCAGCAAACACACTGCTGTGATTCAGGAGTATGTAAGCAGTTTATTCCACCTTCTCTCACGAACTTTTAACCCTTAGGGTCTTGCGGTATACTTTCTTTTAGCCATGTAAAAGACAACTAATCCTATGCAAATAAACAGACTTACTCTACAGAAAAGCCAACATGAGAGGATAATCACACCTTGCACTGTTTCCTGGGAAAATGCTTACAAACGTACATTGCATGTCTTCGGAGGCAGCTTCATAATGCAGCAAATACAAGCCAGTACTACCTAATCAGGGATAGACTGGGGAACCCTGACCAAAACCATGGGGATATACAGCCATAGGTGGCCTTGCAAATGTCTAGGACACTTGGTATTTTCTTTGCCCCGAGTGAGAGTCACTGGGTGTCATAAGTTATTGAAGAGTCTAAATTAAGATTTGTGAACTTCTGTTTTTGTACTGTTTTCCCCTGTATGCCATAGACTAATATATATATTAGCAAATGACTTCATAAAAACCTTTCAGTGATATTTGGGTACCAAACATCCTGCTATGATCCTCAAAATCATGGCAATAAACATGCATGTTTGAACATTAGCTCACAAAATTGAAAATGTAGAAAGCCACTGTAGAAAACAACTATGTGACTAGAAAGAAATGCTACCTCCTTGTGCATATGGAAACTGGCTGGGAGGAGATAGAAGATAACGTGTTAATACAAATGAAGGAAAAGATGCAAAATTATCCTTACCAGTAATATTTCCTTCAAAGCAGAAACTTCCCCACAGCTGTTTTGACCAGTTTGTGCTGAATTTCTGTGTCTGTAAAATGTAATTAAGGACTACCTGCTTCGGGGAAATAAAGGATATGATTAAAAGTTATAGAAAGGAATGGAGGGGGGGCAGGTTTGAGGGTGTGCTAAGGGGGGAACGAACCAGCAATATTGAAAATAAACAGCAAAAATACTTTCAGATGTGTAACATTGTATAATAGAACCAGCTTCTCATCATGCTCCTCGTCCTTGGCAAAGAGGTTTTCCTTTAAAAAGGGACATCTGGGAAGGTTTCAACAAATTACCTGTAGCAGAGGCAAAAGCCATTGTTTTCCTGGATACCTTTGGACATATTATTTGTGACCAATTTCTAATGTTGCTTTTTACAACATCTGGGGACACCTGAAGCTTGTAATATTCATGCCGGTAAATTCAAACCATCTGTCTCCTTTTCAAAGAGTCAAGCTCTCACTCCCAAACTCTCCCCCTCCTCTCTTTCTCACACACTGAGGTGAATTTTCAACACCTGAGTTTTGCTCCTTTTTCGGCTTTATGAGCTGTGTCATCTGTGACTGAATGCCATCAAGTATCACTTAAGCCTATTTCCACAGTAAGGAAATATTGGAAGTAAAAGCTGTTCAAGAAGCTGCCTCTTGTCCCCTTAGCAATGCAGAGTTTGATTTGCAGCAGTGGTGAACAGGAAAAATTCTGGCTGTAGGAGTTATGTTTGCTCAGCATCCCTGAAAAATCAAACTTTGGGTGTCTTGGGTTGAAATCCACAAATGCAGCATATGCTTTTGAAAATCTAGTCTTGTCTGCATTTCAGAATGAAAATTTTCATACTGATCTCCATAAAAGAAAAGTTTCTCCAGAGGGTTTTGCAGTATCCTGTCAGATGTTTGGTACGTAGGGAAGTTAAAAAACCAAATCCACTGATTATAATAGAATATTGGGTTATTTATTTCTCTTGGAAAAACATGTTGAAAAGATAACATTAAGTGAATCTCAGTGGGCAGTACGCGTTTGGTAAAATCTATTTTAAAGATGGATTTAATTGACAAACTTGTCGCTATTTAAAAAAGAATGAAAAGCATATGAAACCAGATACCTTTGTTAAACTATTAAGTGAGAATTCATAGCTGGATGTAGTGCCTGTGTATGCGCAGTTCATTAATTGCACAGCTATTTGGTTCAAGACATTTACAAGCTCTCCTGTGGAAACTCGAAAAGAAGGAACCTATGAAATCTTCTGTATTTACAAAGCAGTGAGCAGAGCTTTTAAATACACCCAACTGTTCAGCCTCAGACTAAACTCCTTAAAGCATTCTTGTAAACCCACATCCCCTGTAGGTCCGGAGAGAGAAGCAGCTGAGGTTTCTCTGCACAACATCAGTGGGACTTCCTAAGTCACACTAGCCTTTCAGTTGTGTGTCAAGGACTAGACAGCTAATTGGCAGCAGACAGTAAGCTGAGGTTCTTCTTCATTACCAAAAAAAAAAAAAAAAACGGACTAAAAAGTGCAAAACTAACACCAGTGAAAAGTGAAGGCTACAAAAAAATCACACGCTTGTAAGACAGGAATGTGTAAGTAATTAGCAAGTCCTGCAACATTAATGCTACCATGGTGCATGTTTGTGGGATCTTTTTCTTTCTTTTAAAAGTAAAATGCTGTGCTTTGCTTGCTGTGCCAACTTCACCTCCCATGCAGCTCTGCCAAAGGTGCTAGAGGCTAGTTGGGATTTCCTGGTGCAGGCAGTGCATTCAGTGGGGTAGGGGGATGCCCTGGCTCCTCCAGCAGGACACGGAGGGTAGGTGAGAAGTTGTTATGCCTAGACTGCCTTCCTCATTCTGGGAGCAACCTTCGGCACAAATACCAGGCTCCACATGAAAAATGGTGCAGGAGTGGGCTGGATGAGGGGCTTTCCCACTCTTCCTCCCTCTCCTTCCTCACATGGTGATTCACTGGAGAGTTCAAACTCAGGCTCAGCTGGGAAAAGTAGCTTAAACTTTGCCACAAATGCAGGCTTCAGCCCATGCTCAAGGGAGCTGGCAGCAGAGGAACCGGCACAAAACTCAGGTACCACCAATGGTAGCACTGGGTTCGGCTAGATCCATGCAAGGGCAACTTTCCTTCCCACGGTGTGCCATCTGTACTCCTTACACATGTGAAACCTGAAAGGGGATAGCCAGGGCAGGAGAACCAGGCCACCCTTCCAAGCTCTTGTGTATGCAGATTGTCCTTTTGAGGCAGGGTGTCATAAGGAAAAGGGCTAGGTGCTAAAAATGTGAAACCACATCTGAACAACATTGAACGCATAGGCTTTTGATTTTTAAGGTATGCGGTTGATCCCTACTTCTGAACACTTTCCAACTGGTATGGCTGGAAATTGCTAAAAGCAGGCGTTCTTCCCCTGATTTTGGAGTGTGCAGGGCTGACATGTTCTCCACAAACTGCAAACCTGTCCCTGTACCTACCAAATACAAGCACTGGACAGTTGTAACTTCAGAAATCCCACATTAGTCCTCCTCTGATGAAATTCAGTATCCTTCCCACTCAGCTATTGACAGCGTGTTTGCTTGTTTACTACATCCATTGTTCCCTTTCACAGACAGATCACATTCATTTAAACTATTTTAGAAATACTACATTCATTTGAAGCTGAAATAGCTTCCATAAAGATTGCAGCTAGACCACACATCTACACACAGAAACCAGATTTGCACTTGGTGTGGATTGTCTGCATATTTACCACAATACTCATTTTCTTCTTTGAATAAAAGTGCAGATTTTTTTCCCTCCATTATTTGCCAACACTATTAACTAGCCACATTCTTCCTTTTGGTTGTATAATCTGTGTCCTTCTCTGATCCTCTCCAAAGTAAACAAGTCGATTTTGACTCCAGTACGTCGTGCCATCACCACCACTGCCACCCATTTGCAATATTTGTCCCACAAGTAAAAGCACTGTTGGGTCTCCTTTTCAGCCCAGTGTAGGTCAGTGTTGTTTTTGGGGAGTCGCAGCACTGCTGTTTACCTTGGCTAATCTCCTACCCTGGCTCCTTGAGTACACGGTGGACTCCTTCAGTGCCCAGGATGACTATGCCCACACTGGAGGATGGACTTGCACTCCTTCCCAACAAGGACACATGGGTTGGGAACTGGTGTCTGGGGGTTCATGCCTGAAGAGTACTGGTGCCCAGGGAGGTGTGGAGTGTGCGATTGGCATGACAAGTGAGCTAGGAGGCTTTGCAGGTGGATGCACAAGCTGGTTTTAACTGACTCTGTAGAGTCTGAGAGCTGGCTCAGCTGCCTGTGTAAACACAGCCAGTAATATCACTGATGTAAAACTTGTGTTGTGAGACAAGAATCAAACTCTTTTTGTTCCCCTCGTCCCTTGTTCAAAGCTTTATCAGGCAGATGAATCAGGTATCACTCCCCTAATGTCACAAGCATAAGGTTTCACCAAATCTCCCACTGTTCCCCAGCACAGGCAGAGCAAGAACCAGTTTATCAGCTCCTGGCCACCCTTCCTTACATTTTTGTTGGAGTTGGAGGAGCCCCCTGAATGCCATTTACTCCCACTGCAGCTACCTCATGCTATGAATGGGCTTATAGTTGGAATAAGAGATCTACCTAGGGGAAGAGTATACAGCTTCTTGGAGCTGATTTGTGAAGTGCTGACAGTTTTCAATCTGCACCTGCATCTCTGACCGGATATTGGAGTCACATTGATCAGGTGCCGAGTGACCCCTTCGTGTTGCTGATAGTCCTCAGACGCCTGAAATCTGAGGAATTCGGGAACTCTTTGGAGAGATTTTGGTGAAGCGATTTTGGTGGAGCATGTTTCTGGATCCAAGAGGGAACACTGCCATGATGAGTGAGAGCAGATGAAGTAAAGAGAAATGTTTGTTTCTGAATGAACACGTTTAAGGACATCTTTTGAATTTTGAGAAACTTCTGCTTTGGGCTGTGCCATATTGACTGCTCTTGTAGACTTCCAGGTGTCTTGTTCATTGGTGTTTTTCTTCAGGAGTGGGGTAATTTCCTTACCTCAGGCTCAGCACCTTGCCTCCCATGGCCTCCTGCTAGGCAAAAGCCCCTACTGAAGCTACATCCCAGGAGAGCTTGAACATCTACAAAAGCATATTTTTGCAGGAACAATTTAGTTGTTGTTTCTGAGGCACCAGAAGCAGTAGCAAAACTGCTCTCCTTTGACATCACTTTTGTGAAGGCTTACTGATATGCTTGGTAATGCTATTTGAGGTGAAGAAACGTAGTCCTAAGCATTGTGGGCATGCTGCGGTGGTCTTGGTTTACAGCTTACAGCTTAATGCATTGCAAGTCAATTACAATTATGGATGTTAAAATGGGAAACCATGGGAGCACTGTTGATAAGGATCTTTTTCAAAGGGCAGGAATAAAAAGAAAGAAATTTGAACAGTGTCACACAGGTGGATCTTAAAACAAAAGACATAATTTCCATTAGTAAAATACTGCATTTCCACTAATACCCCATTTCCACTCTGAAGATTGATACTACAATTTGTGTAGCTCAAAGCCACTTGTTCCTTTCTCACTTTTTAGATAGATAGATAAAATTCCAATTCATTTCAATTGAAGGGTTTCTATTTAAGTGCTGTTGGTATAATCGGTCTATTAAAATGAGAGGTGTTAATTTTCCAGTAATCACTACACTTTCTTTCTCTTTCTATCTTCCAATTGAAAGGACAGCCTCATCCTGCATGGTTAAAATGTAGTAATGCATTTAATGCCAGGCCATGATTTTAGACCTCCAGCTGTTTTACTGGTTGTGTAAGTAAAAATAAGATAATGTTATGCTTGGTAACCATGGTTTTTGTAGGCATTCACATTTTACAAATCACTGCACAGTATGCAAACCATTATATATGTTTAAAATGTTTAAAATCAAGCCTACCAGAATTCTACCATTTCCATTATTTAAGGAGGGGGACTGCTATATTGTGAAGAGTGATATATTCTATCAAGCTACTCACCAGAGTTATATTATCAGTGCAAATCATGTGAAAATATGTGCCTCAGCAAGACAAGAAAGGAGTATTCTCTGCTATAAAAAGTGTGCTATGGGAAGCTAGATGGAGTCATTGGTTTGGTGTAATATATGAGTAAAATCTTATTTGTTCAAATAATAAAACGGGAAAACAGCACAGAGAGAAGGCAACCATGAGCTACTTGTTTATACTATCTCTGTAGAAAAACCTGCTTCTACTTCAAAGGAAATCAAGTTTCATCTCCCACAATTTTAGCCAGGGATGACTACTCATCTGAGTGGAGATCTTCCCGATCTATACCGGCAGCAACAAAAGCAAAACCAAGGTCATGGAGAAGAAGTTTATTGATTTGTTCCATACATGCAGGGAAAAGTATTATACCTTGCCAGCATCATCATAAGTATGTATTTAAATCCAAGTAAACCTTAACTGGAATATTTCTT